CATCCACCGGGTGGTGCCACTGCGCTTCTGTACGTGATCGTGTCCCACCTCCAGAAGTCTGCATGGATGTATATCTTTACCCCAGCCTTCCTTGGCTCCGTGATTCTAGTTCTCATTGGTTGCCTTACCAACAACCTCGCTGAAAAACGTCACTATCCTCAGTTTTGGTTCGCTTTCAAACTTTTATCACGCGGTCATTGCTTCTTGAAAGCTTAATGACCAGGTTGATCATCTTTTGTAGTGTGGGGCAGTCGAGTGGCACGAGTCCACGGCATAGTCGGCGCCTCAGTTCCTGGCATTTGCATAGACCCAGGTGTACAAAAGCAATTAAAACCCACCTCGCATAGACGACGCTCCGAGCCGCAAGTACGGAGTGTTGGGTTGAGCGTGCACGAAATGAGATCGGAGATCTCCCGTACAATTAGCGGCCCTTTAGGTTGCGTCACTCTGAGACGAAAGCATGGCATTGGTCTTGCCCCAAAATTTTAGACACTCTTGGTACGTTTGAACTTTTGGCCTTGAACCCACTTGCCTCCATAGGTATAGCTTGGGTATAGACGTGCGTATCGCCTGCTTAAAGCAGCGGAGTTTCATTTCGACCAGCGAAACGAGACTTCGGAAAAGGTGCCTTGCTGCTTGCAGAGAGATCCCAGAGAAGGTTGATACTGAAGCATTGTATATTATAGACAAGTATAGTATATCATTATCTTCTAGCAAATTATAGCATTTTATCGCCGACAGCTCCCAGAGAATTCCCGGACTTCGCCCAGGTCACATTAGCCGATGAAAAGTCCAAAACTGCCCAGGCAGAGGTGGGGAAACCTCTGGTTTAGGGGTTCCTTAGGGCTTAGGGGATGTGCAGGGGTTGTATGATACTGAGGCCTTACTGAATAGAATAGGTTTAGGGTCTCCGTCTCCCTGCCTTGTGGCGGGTCCTTCTCATGAGGGTGGCCCTGGTTTGCATCGGACCGGAGAAAGGCAGGCTTCATCTTTGGTAGGTAGTGTGACCTTTTGTCGAGCAGCTCTCATGCCAGGAGTGCACTGGTGATCAGCTGCTGCCATGTAGGTATGTGCCCGAAGCATGTCTGATGTACTGGTACAGAGTCAGAGAAATTCATGTCACAGTAACCCTGAAGCCGAAACCCTGAACCGTGACCATGATGATGGCGAGAAGGTCGAGAAGCTTGAGGCCAAGAACAAGGCGCTGCAGGCACATCGGCAGTCTGTGACAGTTTTCGGGCGCATCGGCTCGCATTCTTCAACAATGTAGAGTATAGTTCTCGTCTGGCTCAATTATTGCTTGCACCAGAATGTCAGGCAACCTGCAACTCGATGTAGTTTATTCGCTGATCCTCCGTACCAGGTTTAGAACTGAGGCTCGGACTTTCTTTCTCGGGCCACGGGAGTTATGGTATAGGGTTTAGGTTTTAGGGGCTCTTGAAAACACATGTCCCCTGGGCATGGCTCCCGCTGATCGGATAGAGCTCCGGGTTCCAAAAAGAAAGGGCTCTAGAAAATGTCACTTGGGTCGACTGAGAGCACCATCCTTGGGTTTAGCGGTTTTTCAGGCGTGGTGTTCTGGAACGAGGAACTCCGGATTTTCGGTTTAGAACTCCGAATGGGGAGGCTACCGGATGCGAGTTTCGGGCTGATTGTCACAACCGAAACAAATCTGTTGATGTAAGCCTTTTGGCTCTTATTCTTCTGCATGACGAACGTGCATGGTGCCTTTCATGAAAGGTGAAGGGGGCTCCTTAGTGGCCAGTATATTGGCGTCCGATGTTGTGGCAAGCTCTTATGCAAAAAGCCGTCGGGGAGTTGCAAAAGCAAAAGAGCAATGCAAGACCAATGCGGTGTGACCTTGTATTATACAGCAGCTCAGGCAAGGCTGAACAGACAAAGCGACACAAGAAGCAGCTTCAGGGCTTCAGGGTTTGGTGGCGCGAGAGGGTGAATTGTAACAGCAGTGCAGAAGCACAGCAAGGCTCACCCCAGCCCAGCAGCAGCAGCACAAGCACCACCGCCACTATCGTCAGAACAATCATGTTGGTCTTGCATCGTGGGAAGACCAATTTGATTACACCTACCACAACAGACAACTGCACAGCGTATGTGTTCTCTAAATTAAGGTCCCTTTTGGGGCCCTTGTTATAGGGGTGCCGTACTAGAAAAGGGACGTTCATGCAGAGACCTACCCATATAGAGAGTATGCTGCAGTACATGACCCGAAGGACGAGATGGCTGCGGCATCCCGGCCCAGGGATTCCGGGATTGTCTTGATGCCACGAAGTTATACCCTCCACCTACCATTTCCAGGTCATGGAGGGCCATAGCCACCTCATGTCCGTGCCTCTAGTTGAACTCTGCTTGCAAGGCTGGGTACTTCCTGTACTGCCTCTAGCATGAGGATTTTGGCGGATTTGGTGTTCCTTCTTGTAGTCCTTTCTATCGTATCCTAAGCTGCTTTCTTGAACATGTGGCTTCAAGGGATCCCCAGCAGATCCCCAATGGATAAGCACAGCTCTGAGTTTCACGGACGCCTCAAGGGTTCCTGAACCAGTCAGTGTTCAAGTGCGGGCCTCGCCCGGTGCTTTGGGCTTTGGCAGGCAAAGACGCAGCAGCCCTGCAAACTGCTTGTGACAGCTGCGAAAGCATCCTTACGGATGCGTACATATTTATACAGACTTATACATACATACATACATACATACATTACCGTACCGTACCGTACCGTACCATACCATGCCATGCCATGCCATACCATACCATCCTTACCTTACCTTACCTTACCTTACCTTACCTTGCCTTGCCTTGCCTTGCCTTGCCTTGCCTTGCCTTACCTTACCATATCATACCATACCATACCATACCATACCAGACCATACCATACCATACCATACCATACATACACACATGCATACATACATACATGCATGCATACATACATACATACCTACATTACCTACATTACCTACATTACCTACATTACCTACATTACCTACATTACCTACCTACCTACCTACCTACCTACCTACCTACCTACATACATATGTCAACCATATATACATGTACATATGTGGAGAGATGGAGAGGGCTCTTGGATTTCTTTGGGTAGAGATGCGGCCATGCACTGCACAACCCTGAACCACTGGTTCAAATCCAAGGCAGAGCAGAAATACGCGAAGGAGCGCGAAGAGATGCAGCAGGAGTTGAACAAGGCAAACCATGGGCCTGCTGCATTGTTTGTGGTTTTATTCTTTTGTGTTTTCGGGCCGGTTAGGTATGTAGGACTTGCGCTGAAAAGGGTTTAGGGTTATCCCACACGACTCTGTATATGAAGGGTTCCAGCACACAAATCGTTGCAAGCCGCAAGCCCTCCTAGGTGTCACAGGGGACGTTGCCAGATTGATCAAGCTTTGTCCCCTCCGCGCCCTCTAATTTGCTGTCCGTGCTCACTGCTCAGCAGTCTCAGCTGTCAGCAACCACGTGCACTAAACCCGCAGCCGAAGAGCGATAGTTACGACGCAACCTGACAGCTCCCGGCTGTGCTGCCGGTTTTGCAGTCCCTGGCCTAGCCTGCCCTTGGCGCATTAGCCCCGACAGCCCCTGCAGAGGCCAAGAAGTCGGGCTGCTGCGTTGTTCAGTGAGGGAAGTCTCAGTTGCCTGCAGCTGCCGCTACAGTGGGAGAGCTTTCATCGGAAGTTAAGAGCACTTGCGCAAACTTTGCTTGCATGTGTTGTGGTGGGTTTATTTTCAAGAGATGAAGGAGCGACCTGTGTCCTTGGCAACGTGAGCACAGCGCAGCACCGTTTAGTTCAGAACCCCTCTTTCCAAGCCTTCGTGGGAGGTAGGTCCAGGTAGGTGTTATAATATCAAGTAGCCTGATGCGATGGAAAAAAGCCCTATCCCTAAAGCTTACCCTGCAATGCTGCAATGCGGCTCGTCCTTGCCAAGTAGGAGGGGAAAAAGCTTATGCCGGCAGTCCTAAACCCTGAACCCTGGCTTTAAATGCAAAAGTCCGGGCCGCGAGCTGGCACAGGCGTTGCTATCGCCCTGCAGAAATATTGCAGGGCATGGCAGCTACCACTGCCCAAAGTGGCTCGTAGCTTTCTGAAGTGCAGGAGTGCGAAGATTAAGGGACAATAGAAGGGACCCCCAAAAAGCCCCCTGGTCTCATAAAGCCCCTATCAAACCCCAAGGGTCCCTTTAAGGGTCTCTCCTTTAGTCCCTTGAGAAGAATGTAGTACAAGCATGTTAGGAGAAAGCAACTCAAATTCGTGGGGCATCTGTTGTGATCCAATTCTGACCAAGGCGAACCATGTGCAAAACGCCCCAAGTTTCGAAGGTGACCAGCCCACCATCAAAAACAGCCTCTCAGTACATAGATCTGCTTCCTTACTAGAATGGTCCGCAGCACCTGCTTTACATACGCCGACCATTCAAGCCCGGACCTCAAACGAGGAACCCGGTTACCTTCAGAGGCTGCGGAAAGAGGAACGTCAGTTGAATCCGCTGCTGTTGTGCTGCTCCCACTACCACCACTACGACTAAGCCGACGACGACGACGACGACGACTACTAGTTACTACCACGACTTCTGCTTCTTCTGCTTCTGCTGCATGTACGAATGCAAATCCACACATTCTGATGTGCTTTTTTATATGATCAGCAAAAGGCCAGCACTTCCACTGCGTCCTCTGGTACCGCGAGCAACTTCCCCGAAGTCTCGGGGCGAATATTATGTCGGGATGCCATTAATATTAGTAGTCATATTTGGACCCTGCATACTTGTTGAGGAAAGGCAGGAATATCATGAAGAGTTCGAGCTCCCGGGGCCGGGTAATGCGGCAGTTTCAGAAACCGGGGAGACGCCAAATAACACAGGTGTAGCTTTTCGAGGTTTAGGGTAGGAGTAGGACCATGTAGGAGCCTTGGCATAGTACCGCCATGTGCCAGCTGACGGATGCACCTGTTCGGGCTCGCCTGGTTTTGGTGGCTGCCATGGGCTGCGGCTTGGGCGCCCCACGAAGAGTGGGATCTCGCATCTCGCCTACTGCAACATATGGGGGCCTTGCGTGCTTTTTGCGAAGCACAGCATAGTTTTGTACAGTATAGTGTGGTATAGTGGAGTAGGGGAATTATAGTATATTCTAGTCTAGTCTGGTATGGTATAGGATAAGGTATATATTTTGCTCAGTAGTCCGACCCCCTCAAATTACACCCCTTGTTGATTTGTACCAGGCCCGCAAAGAGGACCTCCCCATTACCTTGAGGGCGGGGTCGCCTTGCAAATTCCCAGATATGTGTGGGTCTGGTCCGTTCCATCCAGGGCGCAGACCGTGCATAATTAGTCAAACCCGAAATATCTCACCCAAAAAGAACCCAAACACCGCCAGGTAGACCTGCTATAGGGCTCTTCGAACTACCCCAACATCGATCCGCAGAGCCACGAGGTGAAGGATGAGTGTCCACCAGAAGAGGAGGCTCCGACCGCGTTGGTCGAAGCCGCCGTGTCGGTGGCGACTTCTGACCAGGTGGAAGGGCTCGGAGTTGGGCAGAAGCATTCTGGGATATGTTGGGTATCCACTGCTTCCACATTGCCGTGCATCCCAAGTTTCAAACGTTGAAGTTCCCCCCGCCCCAAGTCCCCCAAGCCTCCGAAGTACCTGAATGAAAGCCTAAACCCAAACACCCAGCCCTACACGCTCGAAGCACCGAGGCGTTTTTCTCCTCGGAGCTGCGTGGCAAGGTCCTGGCGAGCTTGGAAGCCCGGGCAAACCGCTGCGGCCTCACCAGGCTCTGGAGTTTTGGGGGGTGGGGGAACTTATGTGGCCTTACTCTTGTTCTGGGTTGTTGTTCTCCTGGTGCTGATGATGGTTCTTCTTGCTGTTGTTGCCGAACATGAACCATTCTGCAGGTTCGAAGCTTCAGGTGCTTCTGATCTGACTTGGATTTGCAGCCGTGTTTTCTACAGGCAGCATCAGGCTTACTCAGATGAGGCATGTTTCGATCGGGCAGTGTCCGGCCATGCAGTGGGTGTCGTCAAGGAGTGTGTTTCATCAACTCAGTCAGGTCGTCGAGCCTTGTAAATCCTTGTAAGATAGTGGTCTGAATAAACAGTCAGTAGTATTCCCTTGTAGTCCGTGTACGATTGAGGTGCAACGTGACACCCAAACCCCATTCTGATTGGTCACACCCCTGTATTACACACCAAGATGCTCATCTTCCTGAATGGGTGAGAGAAAACTGCCTGGGCCTAGGTTGCTAGCACAGCTGGTGGTCTTGATTGGCCATGCCCGGAACACTTCCGCAGATGCCTCCGGGTCGCCCTGGCCTGGTGGAAAGCTTTGTCTTAGCTGAGCTGGTGCCCAAGTAAACCTAAGTATCCCCTAGACGCAAAACCCTGCAAACCCTAAACCCTCATGACTGTTCAAAGTAGCTCCAGGCCAGATTCCGCGGGTGGAGACGTGGCACTTCGGGCCTGGATCGGCCTTCATGTGCAGCCTCCGCTTCCCAGCTTCTGGGCCGTGGCCGGAAGCATCGTGCCGGAGGTGCTAGAGGTGGCAGGTGCTGCTACATGCCCGAACATGACCCATTTATTGCCCAGTCTAAGGAGCTTTTTCAGGTCATTTAGGTGCTTTGAATACATCTGCGCATAAGGCAGCGGTGTTCCCGCAGCTATCGAGGCAATCGAGCATCGGCTCCGACACTTGGGCCTCCCAGTTGAGCCGTACGGGAGCTGTGATTCCATTCCAGATGTGGCGGCCTACGCCTTCGCCGTGCCTCGGTGGCTATGCCTTGCCCTGTCGCCCCGTGGTTTTTTTGGATGGCACTGAAGCTCAAAATGCTCATCAGAAGGTGTGAAAGCATGCAACATCCGAGGTGAACGCTGAGGAAAAGGCTGCCGGGAAAACCTTCTGGTCCAAGGCCCGGGAGTTGGCCAGTTCAATCGTCCGAAAAGGTGCTTTCGAATGGGTCAACGCCGCTCGAGTGGCTTTTTCCAGCCACTGGGTGTCGACTTGCGGGTTTTCTCTTGGGCTTTCGCCCCTGTCTTGGTTGAGTGGGATGGCTAAATTATATGTATGTATGTCAAGAAGAAAAGGACAGGCAGCACTACCGAGTCCTTGCGTGCTCTCTGTTCTCAAGGGGTGGTCCGGGCCGAGGCAGTCTCATTCAGAAGGCGGCCCGCGAGGCTTGCCCCTTCGGGGTGATGGCCCTGAAGCTCATCCGGTGTATTGGCCATGATGCAGAGCAGAAGCAGGAAGAGGCCCGGCAGGGCTTGCCCACACCTGGGCTGGGCTTGCATCGAGTTTTCGGGCATTCTTATGATGTCGAGAGATGGCCGGGTCAGCTGGGGGGTTCGTTTGCTTTCTGGGAATCGAGTTCCTCTTCCGAGTTCACCCTTTGGCCAAGGTGGTGACGCTGGACACGGATGCTGAGGAACTCATGCAGTGGACGTCGGAACCAGATATAGCAACGCTTCTTCACAATGCTTGGCCTCTATGGGGCCTTCTCGCTGTACTGGCAGGACAGAGGAAACATAGCTTCATCATCACTGCCCGAGATGCACCCAAAGCAGAGCTTTTCGACCAGGCACCCCTACTAGATGCCATGTGGGAGAAGCAAGGTGGTAACTTGAGAAGCTGTTTAACTTGAGAAGCTGTTTACCTTTCCTTAAGCTCCAAATGCTGTGCTTGTTCATAAAATCTTGAGGGCCTGAAACTACAACCCAGGAAGCAGCAGTCTGGAAACTACCCCTTGGGCGCTGTTTGGATCACAGCGGTTCCACGCCGGACCGATGCCTTGGAGTTGTCCACCTGGCTTAGCCGATTAAGGAATGCACTTAAGGTGCGCAATCCGCCCTACACAGAGCATCAAGTTCTGCTTGTGCTGGAGCAGGGTTCCGACATTCCGAAGACCAGCTGCAAGAAAATGGCGTGGTTCGGCTTTTACAGTGGGCCACTTCTCCACTGTGTGTGGTCCACTTGGGGAGCGTCCCCGGGGTTGGATGCCTTGGCTTTGGCCTACTTCATACTGCGACGGGGCACTCCCGTGGCTTTCCTGAATTTGGCGACCATCTCCTTCCCTGGTTTGGGGGACAAGGCAAGCCACTTCCTCACAACACAGTCCATGGCTCGGCACCTCCTATTCATCACGGACACGCAGGTGCTCACTGGTGCCGGAGCCCAGGCGGAGCGTACCGAGCTACAGGCACCCTTCATCGATGTGGGCCTCCGCCTCTTCAGGCCGTCTCACCCCACGCTCTCGCTGATCCAGGACCCTTAACAGCGCTCTTATAACACGCCTGAAAGCACTCCAAATAGCGAATCCCATGCATCTGTGCATATCCAAGTCTTGCAGTGGAGGACTGCTTCCGTATAGCCTACGAGAACCCTTTCATGGCAGCCGAAGATGTGGTGAATCGCTTCGAAGTCTCCTCGAAGTTGGACCTTCTGCTGACAGCAGGCCACGGTTTCGTGTCCTCCGAGGGATGGAAGGCCGAGGATGTGAAAACCACGGCAGAACCGATGAAAAATCGGACTCCCGTGGATGCACACTTGGCCGGTGGTATCCTCCTTTTCAGCATGAGGCCTTTCAATGTGCTGCCGCGCTGGTTCACCGGCAAGGCTTGCTTACAGGTCTGTCAGTCCGGATTACTAAAGTGTGCGCCAGGCGCGGGAGGCACGGCGTGCGAGCTCTTGAGCGGAAGTATGGAAGAGGCTCTCCTACTGACCCTCAAAAACAGTTTTGCCTTCTCAACGCCCGGAGCTCGCAGTGCACGGCCGCGAGTACTCCAGGCAGGGCCCAGCAGCTGTGGCACTACTTCGATTGCACACTTCTACTCGGATGGGCACGGGCTCCGTGTAGCGAAGAACTACATCGAAGGTAGAGAGATCCGGGATCATGTTCGTTTGGACATGAGTCTGGGTAGGGCTCCGTTTGCAAAATTGGATCGCTTCGACGTGGTGGCAGATGCATTCGACGTGGTCCGTGTAGGCATCCACTTCTGCTCGGACGTAATCGGGCGCGGAGGAGAGACTTGCGAGAAAATACACTATGATGCGCTGCAGGAAAGCATCGATGAGTACAAAGGCATTCTCCGTGCTCTGCAGGAGGCATACCCGAATCTTTGGTTTATCCACAACACCTGCAAGAAGGATCGCTGGCTGCCAAAGAGGGTGCATAATTGCTGGCCGCATGTGGTGGCGATGCCGGGGGACGATTGGCCACAGTGGCTGCGGCAGTGGAAGATGTGTTGCGACGAGTCTTTCGGAATAGGGGGCAACCAGTCCTGCTGGGTCCCAGAAGAGCAGGCCTTAATCAAGATCCCAAAGAGGCTGAATTTTAGGGATTTCGTTTATGCCGCATGCTGTGATGGGCTGACCTTCTACAAGACCGCTTGGGATATGGTCCACACGACCCTGGAAGAAATTATTGTCGATGAGCGGCGCGTGCCCTTTAACATCCTACGCCACTTGCCTGCCAAGAAATTAGGTGACCACCTATAACCGGATTTTGCCTCCCACACATAAAGTCGTAGTAGAGCCCCGGGCTGCAAATTGGCTTGCAGTGCACTGTCGGTGGTGTGCAACAGGGCCTTTTCAGGTAAGAGACAAGCAAAAAGCCCAAGCGAAGCCAAGCATTCAGCACACGTGGAAGTTTCAGAGCAAAGGGCGGGAGAGTGAGAAACGTGTCGTTTCCCTAGTTTAGGGTTCTCAAGCTTCGGTCAGCAGCGTGCGCTCCTCTCCCCCCCCGTCGAACTTGCAACCCCCTTCCGCTGCCGCTAGGAAGGTGAGGCAACCTTAACAAACCCTCCAAGTCTCGTCGGGAGTTTTCAGGACAAGATCCCCGGGAGCTTAGCGAAGTCCTTGGCTTGCAGGATGACTTCAAGGCTAGCGCATGGCGTCAGATCCACAAGACGGAAAAGGGGAGAAGAGCTTCGTCTCTGCTTGCTTCTCACTGACTTCAGACTTACATTTGAGCTTTACTGCCTGGTTTCGGGTTGGAGCTTTCCTTAGCAGCTATCATCATATAGTATGGGGCCCCAATGATTAGAAGTGGGGTTCGGGGAATACTATACGTACTATTGTTACATATTGTTACACTAAGGAGCCACGAAAGTAGTAGTGGTCGTCGTTTAGGCTTCCATAGCATCTGCATCTTCCGGGATCCCGGAGAAAGGGAGAACACTCTGGCCGGTTTTTGTGGCCCAAGCCCACAGAAAAAAACATGTGGGTACCTGTAGGCAGCGAGTGTCCATGACGTTTGCTGAAGCCTCGAACTTAGACGCCTGAGTCACGAGCAACAACTCAGGAGGCAAACATTTCGTGGGGGACCTCATCATATTCCTAGCCTAAGGTCCTATAAGGTACCCCAAAACCCCGCTTCAACTGCTAAGGCCCCAAGATCGTTAGCCGCAAGGGGCTCCTCATCTCCGCGGACAGCAGAACCGAATGCTAGAACAACGCAAGATTCAACTCCCAGCCCAGTAAGCCCTGACCTCAATCACCCAATGAGCCCTATAAACCCTAAACCCCCTAAGGCCCTAAGCCCTAAACTCTAAAACTGCAGACCCACTGTCAGCCCTTAAAACCCGAAAACAAAAGAACCATATGAGCCCTAAGCCCGACCTCAGCCCATTGTTGCCCGTGGGCTGTACCTGCGAAAGTCGCAGCAGCCAACACTTGAAGCCATGGCCCCCAAGATGATTCTTGAATGCATGGATTCAGGGTTTAAGGCGAGTCCACGGCACAGTAGGCGTTTCGGTTCCTGGCATATATAAGCCTTAAACTAAACTCTACGCCTCTAAATTCTTTATCCACCCATTAACTTCCTACAACTTCACACTAGAATCGTGGGTTTCATTGGTCGCAACTTGCAGGCGTCAATATTCTTTCTAGGGGTGACCTTCTTATTTTGCTTGCTGCTGAAATCGTCGGAACCTACACAAGTCGACGACCTGGAAGGAGTACCGCAAAAGCAACACCAATCATAATTAATTGTCATGGGTAGCATCAAGTTCATAGAGGTAGCCAGTAGCGATCGTCACAAACGGATGCTTCACAGCAACTGCAGCGTTGCGAACAAGTTGACGTTTTCTCAACGAGTGTAGTTCTTTGGCAACTGCCGCGGTTCCTGCTGGTGAGGTGTTCTTATTGTTGCTGCTGTTTGTGTTCGTCGTGGTGGTCGTCGTGGTGGTGGTGGTGGTGGTGGCGGTGGCGGTGGCGGTGGCGGTGGCGGTGGCGGTGGCGGTGGCGGTGGTGGTGGTGGTGGTGGATGATAGTGGCGTTTGTCAGCGGTGGCCGTATTCATGACGATGCTGCTGCTGCTGCCGCCGCCGCTGCCACTGTCGCTGCTAGTCTGCTAGTGCTTGTGCTGCCGTCGCCGGCGGCGGTGGTGGTGCAAGTGGTAGTCCTAGATGCTCGATGCAGTCAGTCGAAATCGGTGTCGTCAAGAATTGTTGCTGTTGCTGTTGTTGCTTTGTTGGTGTCTCACGAGCACATGGCTTGCTGTTCTCGGTGCAGGTTTCTTTCCATGCTCGCTAGGCTATACCCGATGTAAAGGTTTGGCTTGAGGTTGGAGCAGGACGTGTGACGCGCAATTTTTGCACTCTGTGGACAACTGCAAGGAATATTCTCGAGTACCGCACTGCCAAGCTGGAAGCCAGGACGGAAGCTGCTCGCAATGATAATAGCCAGACGAAGGCTTCGACTTGCATGCTGCAAAGGCACATGTGTTTGCGATGGTGTCATCACTATCCGCATCGGCCATTGCAGCCTGTTGTTTGACGTGCAGTGAGCTGCGACTAAGACCAGAATCGGCCTCAGAAGCTTTGTAGGTCCTGGAGCCCGGAGAAGTTGTTGCTGAATCCTGATCGCAGTCCGTAAACATAAATGCTTGCACTGAACCCACAACCCTAAACCCTCACCCTTCACCCCCCTCACCATAGCAGGATGAACACAGTCGGCTTCGAATCCGGTGGCATGCTCGAGCCCAAGATATTCTGGCTGTGGCTTTGCGGCCTCGGTGAGACTGGCTCAGGCCAAAGCGCATGATTGGCACGAAGCCGAACAACATGGAGCCTCGGCCAAGGCTATTAGTGCTCAAGGTCTTTTGGGTTTAGAATTCTTACTCAGCGCGTTTGCAGGGGCCTAGTGCAGCGGATCTGCTCGTCTCATCCCGTCGATGGAAGGACACCAGCCAAACAAGACTCTCCATTAAGATTAAAGTCTGTATAGTATGTATAGTATACAGTATGTAGTATATCGTATATAGTATATATGATCGAGTAGTGCCAGTCAGGCTGTTCCAAGTTCCTAGGAGGCCGATGGAAGCCTGATCTCTCATCTCCGCGCCCTCGCCTTCTCAAGGATGACTACAGAAGCCGATTTGAGACCATGGGCCTTGCGCCCGCATCCCAGTGAGCTTTCTGGCTTTAGTAAGCTGGTACTCTAGGCCCGCGGCCCTCTACAGGAATGGGGCCCACATGATGGGGAACTTACCTTTTTGCCATTTTCGAAGAGGGGTCTAGAGTCTAGAGTTTGGACAGCGGAGGAGAAGGCCCGATGTGAGGGGGAGCCTTTATAGGGGGCTTGTAATCTACACTGCTGCCAGCAGGTGAGTTCTCGTGAGGCTTCGAGAAGCACAGTAGCTGTATTTTATTGTCTGGGGGAGCAGTGATCCGGATGCTGATGCTGATGATGGCCATCTTGGGTGAGGACATGATGATGCCCTCCAGAACCCAAAACCATAACCCGGATGCATTCCTTCACTTACAAAAGAAGGTCCGGGGGCTCGGCGGCCATGTCCAAGTCCATGCAAGGAAATGCCCAGGCGGGGGGACTCGAGAGGCTGTGGTTTCCTGGCCTTGCTATTCTGACTCTGAGGAAGAGTGGCGCAGCCTTCTGTGAGCAACAGTTTCCCACCATTGATGTTTGCTGGCGGCTACAACCTACTTTCAGCAAGTTCTTGAAGGCTTCCTGTGGGTTGACAGAACCGGAGATTACCAAGGCGTTGCTTCCAAGTGCCAGTGCAAGGAAGCCACTACTTAGTCAGTACTTCCTGGAAGAAGCTGTCAACTTTGCAAAGAATCAGGGTGTTGCAGTTGCAGCAGCAATCACTATGACTATTGGCTTGTGGGTCGAAGAGGCTGGAACCCGAACCGTCACAGTTTCCAGCACAGTACCTCCTCAGGCTGCTGCCCAAAAAGCGCAGGCATTGGGCGAGGCAGGCTGTGCACCTGGGCGCCCTGCATTCTGTGCCTGCAAACCGCAATCTGCAAGAGAAAGGGCGGGATAGGGACAGGTCTGTGCATAACATACATGCATGTATGTAGGTCGGTAAGAAGGCAGGCAGGAAGGTAGGCAGGTAGGGCAGGAGTCTGCATGCAATTATGCGTGTTTGTAGTTATGCAGGGTCTGTTTGGGTATGAACATATGTACCTTTATACAGCGAGGTCCATATATATGTTGCTTGTGGAAGGTGATCAGACGCCTTAGAGAAGGTTGCTGGGAGTCCCTTGTAATTGTTCGCGTTTCTTCCGCTTCACGTACCTACGTGCCTCCCACTTTATCTTCTAGGGTTTAAGGGTCAGGATTTGCCGTCACCGGCCTTTTCGCAAAGGCTGCGGAAATAACAGCTTGTGATTACGCGATTTGCGGAAAATGCATCACGCACACACCGCATCATTCAATGCCCTTTACTCTTGGCGCCAACTTACTAGTTTCATGTTTAGGGGGTGCTTGTTGAGGTTATGAGAGCAGTTACTGCCCTGAACCCTAAACCCTATAAACCCTAAAAAAAATAACCCTAATTACATTTGGCTAGGCCATGGGGGCCGGCGGTGCCCGCGTGCCCTTGGTGCCCGATGCTGCTGGGCTCTTGGCTTCTGTTGTCCGAGTCGTGCAGGGGAAAGCGCCTAGTTCCAAGGGCCGCACCATGGAGATGATGCTGGAAAAGTTCGTGTTGGGATCTCAATTCTCAGTGTTCATAGCTTTCAAGCCCCACAGTCGATTGGGGCAGTGACAAATTGCAGAATGCGAAGGCCGATTGCAATGGCTGCAAATCAACCTGCACTTGTTTTGCTTGAATTTCGTGCAGTCTGCCAGAGTCTGCCATGCAAATAAGTTGCAACTTTTGCCTGCAGCCGTCGATTGCTTCGTGATTTCCTGCATGTCCTATGAACAGGAAGCAGCTTCAAACATGCTGTCTCAGGAGCAGTCGGCTGGACAAGTATGCTGTGGCTGCTGCCGAGAGGCAGAACAAGGAATTCAAGAAGGCGCAGCATAGTTATCGCGTGGCATCTCTATCTTCACCTGTGGCACCGCAGGAAGAGAAGAAGGGCAAGAAGAAGGACAAGAAGAAGAAAGACAAAAAGAAGAAAGACAAGAAGCGAAAAAAAGACAAGAAGAAGGCCCCTGAACATTCTGCCTGCCGGTCTGACAAGGTATCGGTGAGACCCGCCTGTCAAGTGTTGCACGGCTGTTCTTGTGTGAGGACAAGAAGAAGAAGAAAAAAAAGATGCCTGGGCTGGAAACAGATGCATTGTCATGGCCTTCTTTTGTGCGCATGTAGCAGCAGCAGGTGTGGGATTTTGAGTTTTCCTTACAGCGGTTGTATAGATCCGAGTAAGTATAAGTCTATAGTGTGGTCCTTTCTTCTGCACACTCCCATATTTAAGGGATACTGTGCGCTGCGATGCCCCAAACCATGTAGAGACCGATGCTCTTGCGAAGTCAGGAAATCTTCATCCTCATCATCCTCGGGGTCCTCGTCGAGCTCAAGCTCCAGTGGCAAGGGTGCAGAGGAACCAGGTGATGAGCAAGGCCGGCCGGAAAAAGTGCTTTTGCTGCAGTGTGCTCTTTGTGGACTCTCTGTTTCGTTGAGTGTCGAGCGGCGAATTCCTATCCGAAGACCAAACCACCGAAGTGACTGCGCACTGAATGCAATGCTCAGTGCATCATCACTATTGCGAAAGGGTTATCCGTCAGGTGACGCCAAGAAATCTCAAGAGGTGGCAGCTGCTACTTGGCTGATTTGGAGCATGCCGAACAAACTGTTCCGCATCAACCTGAACCTTTCTAAATCACTGTCCTCTTGCAGCATTGGGCTATCACAGTTCTCGTCCTGGGTAGGGTATTTTCAATACCAAGCTACGACTTTGCAGCCTGTGGTCTCGCACGGGTCAGAAGTGTTTGTCTCTTCAAACATACCTGCACACCTCTCCTGATCTGATCCAGTTCCAGTGCCAAGCAAATAGCGCCTTTTCAAACACACAAAACATATGAATATATATATATATATACATATATGTGTGTGTATGTGTATCCCTGTAAGCATGTATGTATGTCTGCATGTATGTACGTATGTATGTATGCATGTATGTATGAATGTGTGTTTGCATGTATGTATGTCTGCATGTATGTACATATGTCTGTCTGTCTGTATGTTTGTATGTTTGCCTGCATGTATGTATGTGTCTATGTATGTATGTATGTATGTATGTATCTAGGTATCTATGTATCTATGTATCAATATATATATATATACATACATATATATGCATGCATCAATGGATGCATGTAAGTATGTATGCATGTATGTGTATGTGTTTGTAGGTATATGTGTGTTTGTATGTATGTATCTATGTATGTATCTATGTATGTATGCATGCATGCATGCATGTATGCTTGTGTTGCCGTACACCTCGCCTGACCTGGTCGAGCGCGAGTGCCAAAAATGTAGGTGTGCAAGGGTGTGTGTGTGTGTGTACATGTGCAGGTGCAGGTGCGTGTGTACGTGTACGTGTGTGTGCGTGTGTGAGTGTGTGTCAGTGTATGTGTATGTCAGTGTGTGTATGTCAGTGTGCGCGTGTGTGTGTGTGTGTGAATGTGTTGTGTCTGTATGTGTATACATATATATGTATGTATGTATGTATGTATGTGTATGTATGTATGTGTATGTATGTATGTATGTGTATGTATGTATGTGTATGTATGTATGTGCATGTATGTATGTATGTATGTATGTGCATGTATGTATGTATGTATGTATGTATGTGCATGTATGTATGTATGTATGTATGTATGTTTACACACAAGAAGCAGGGCAT